TTCAATAAAGCCAGGTCGGATTCATTAAAAATGTAAATTAGTCTCAAACTTTAATACTTCACCTTTGTTTCACAATAAAATGTTTTTGTTGCTCATTAAGTAGCACAGATACCATAGAGTGGTGCCTATCTCAATAAACGTACTCCGTTAGCCTATCTTCCCTACACTGCATGAATTTTCAAACTCCAAGTTATTGTCTGGGAACGACCGGAGAGAGCAGCTTAGGTCGTTCGCGTGGTTGACCTCCAAATTTTGTGCGGGCGTCACTATCCACTTGTTGTGGCTAATAACTTAGCAATCTCAGGGTTTGGTGTCAATTTCCAGTGGTAGTTAACTTTTGGGACCGGTGCCTCCTTTTAATTATCTATTTTTAATTGAGTCTGCACATAAGGTCTCGGCCTAGTAGATTAACCGGGCACAATGGGGAATATAGAAAAGAATGTTTAAGCTGGTTGCCCTGAGAATCAAAACACGTTAGCGGTGACGTAAATTGCTCTTTAGTCGTCTCTCCGACGCTGCTAATTAGAATATGAAGCGGCCGCTCATTTTAGGGGAGACAGAAAGGCTGTCACTTTTAGCACAGAATTTGTTGCCCCGGAGTCATCCAGAATTTTAACTTGTACACCACAGGTTGTTAGCGTATATTACGGGCATGAATTATCTCTAAAAAGTGCCAATTGCAATTTGTTGTTGTTCAACTTACATGAGCGGTCGCTTTGGTGACGAATGTGAACCCAGGTTTGGTCAGTCGCTCGTGTTTCCTCCGTGCCCGCCTCTGCCGTCCTCTGGCCCCGTGTGAGCTTGAGAGGCCCTCTGCCTTTAACGCCTCCTCCGGTAACAGTCCTTCGACCCATGTCGAGCACACAGTCTTTCCGCCGGGCTGTGGAAGTTTTTCAAAGTCCGCAGGAGGCCCAGGTAGCCCAAAGCGTTAGCATGTGGTCCATGAGGGTTGGTGAATAACCCAAACGTGCCGGTACTTTTGGCTTCTTCTGTTTGCGGTGCGGGAACAACTTTCAGGGGGGTTTCCGCGGGTGCGTTTGGTATATCACGCTGCCCCCTCCGTGGAGAACAGTCACGGGATTTGTAGCAGTTTCTCTCTGTGCTCCAAAGCAGTTCTCGGTGTCTCACATATTTGCTTCCCCGCTTCTTCTTCTGTGGTTTCCTGAGCGTGTGTCTGTTTCCGCCTCTTCTTCTTCTGCGGTTTGGGCCCACTTCTCGCGGGGTCTCAGCTGGTGCGGGCGCCGCCTGTGGTTGGGGCGTGGGGCTGGTGCTTTGAGGCAGAGGACAGAGCGCGGAGGAAAGGCGCCGACAGACCTGGATAGGGAAGAGGGAAAAGAGACAACAGTAGTCTGCTTCATTTTTTAAAAACCCAACGCCTTGTTTGGGCGCGTACGTGTGAAAGGGTTAGTAGGTGAGAGAGGGCGTGTGTGTGCGCCTGTGTGTTCTCCGCTTTGGTGAAAGGCGGAGGAGCTATTGTTTTTACATATTTCTTTCTCTAACCTCTTTTGCCGTGATATTCTTAAAACCAAGTATATTTTTTTTTTTTCTTCCCTTCTTCTTCTAAATTATCACGCAGATGACCTGCACCATAGGCAAGCACTTCATAGCTTGCATCTTCTAGATTGTTTTTTACCCATTTTCTCGTACGAACAATGGGCCTAACCCGCTTAGTCTCTCCCTGCTCCTACCCACTTTGGGGCGCTCCGTTCCCCCCCCCGCTGGTTCAACCAGCGAGCGCGCGTTCTTGAAAACGGAGCGGTTCTGGCTGATGACACTTGGAGATTCCAGGGTCGCTTACAATGCGATACTAACGCGCAGCCGCTAGTTTCAATCTAGAACAAAAAACCCCCCAAAAAATCCCGCACACAGACTATGCTGTGGCAATGAATGAAATACCCCAAAAATACATAAATAAACAAATCCCCGTGTACACTTAAGTGCTGCCCTGGGCTCGTTACGCAGATGAAAAGACAAGACTCACCAGATTAGGTTCTTTTTGGTCTTGTGTGGCAAAAGGATTCCTTCCGTGCGCGGACGAGCGCGCTCTCCTTTGTCTCCAAAAAGGAACAGAGGCTGGTGATCCAGGTCGGCCAAACAAAGCCGCTCGTCCCCGCCGAAAGTATCCCATGCCAAGACATGTCAGCAACGCCAAATTGTTATAGAAATATATACCCCATGAAGGAGAAAACTCAAAGGTCCTTTGTCTGATCAAAAGCGTAAGTTTATTGTTAACGCACAGTGCGGAGAGTCAGCATATGCACACAAAGGCAGCATGCTCAGCTCTGGGGGCCAGAGCCCCCAGCTTCCTGTATACAAAACACACACCAAAGATAGTCACGCCCACAACGGAGCGGAGGGGGCCACCGGTGAGGAGGCGCACAGGAAGCGCCGGCGCCATCCCCTGTGGTGGCAGTGGCATGGGGTGTGAACAGACAGACAATGGTGGAAATGCAGGTCATACAGATGCAAGACGGAAAGACACAAGGGTGTGACAGACAGCAGGGACCTTCACAAAGCTCAGCATGGCGTCAGAAGGTCGTCTGCATTGATAAAAGGCCTTTGACGTCCGTGTATTTGCTGCGGCTGGTTTTATGTAATTACTCCAAAAACTGTCACCACACAACACACTGTTTACATGCAGCGGTTAGAATTTCGTTCTTCTGTATTTAAGGTATGTTATACAGTTTTAGCACGTTCTTAAGCTAAAAAAACAACTTCATTTTAATAAAAGCAGTGAAAAAACAATTGTTTTGGGGGGAGGGATTTTTTTCTTAATGTTTATCGCAACGTTTATTCAAATGGGCGCCATCAAAAAGACTGCTTTGATAGTTCTAGTAGTTTCATAATTGTGCAAGTCCTGGTGTTAAAAGATACAGCTGCTTCTTTGCAGATTTTGTTTATTGTTGGTTGTTTTCAGAGCGTTACCCCCATGATAAACGAGGGGACACTCAAATATTTCAAATATTAATTCTGCTATGTTTAATCGTCTTCCTCAAACATGTCTGAAAGTTGCAATATGCATTTTTAGCAGCAAACTGAGATGAATGTATTTCTTTTTCAAATTCAGCCTCATGAGGTTGGTAACCATGCAGATAGCTCACATCGTGGAACATGAGGGAAAGGCAGGACTTACAGTAAACACCGCCTACACAATGATTCACATTGGAACTCAATCTGCTGCTGCCGTAAGAACAAAGGGGAGGGCAGAGATGCAGATGTCAGGCATCTTGGAAATGTAAACATTGCGAATACAAGAAAAGAGGAACATTAATATTCATATTCAAAGATGCAGGGAGGGCAAAGACAAAAGCTCAGATGTGCTCCAAGTTCTCCAACCATACACTAAGAATAGCTGTTAATGATTTCCTTTACAGATGGTATATGTCACTGGTTTAGAGTTACAGAGACAGACAATCTGAATCATTGGTTTGTATAAGCCAGCATTTAGGCAAGGCAAGTTTATTTGTATAGCACAGATCATACACAAGACAACTCAAAGTGCTGAACAAAACAACAATGCAATGCTGTTTTTAACCTGGATCTAAATATTGTCGGAGAAGAAGCCTGTCTCACATTTTCAAGAAGACTATTCCAGATTTTAGCTGCATAAATCTGAAATAATACCTCCCCATGTTTAGTTTAGCATTCAAGTTAGACGTGTTTGAAACTATTGCCAAAATTAACTCTCTCCTGTTAGTATAACCATTTGAAATTTTGATAACGTATTTGGCGCCACCTGTATATGAAAGCAAGATCCAGTCAGACCTCCGGAGCTAAACAGGGCAGGGCCTGGTCAGTACTGTGATGGGAGACCTCTGGCGGCGGCAGCAATAAAGTGACAAACTGTCATCGTGTCCTTTGGCAAGACGCTTCGCCCACATTGAGTATGAGTGTGCCATGTGAAGTCTCTTTGAGAGGCAAAAGAAAGAGCAGTATAAAACCGATGTATTACTATGTTACTAAATCAAAGTCGAGGGCTTGTCTGCTTAGAGAAGAGTTTGCAAATTGATCATTTTCAAAGAGGGTAAGTCTACCTGCAATACTCCATGGCAACTACAGCAAACCCTCACCAGGACCATAAATAAAACACATACAACACCTGTTATGGCGAGTGTTCGGTATCTCACCCACACTATAATAACTAACTTCACAGCGGTTATCTATTCAAACAGATGGTTGACATTGAGGCAAAGAACACTCACTCGGCACACACTCCTCAGACACCAGTAAAAGTGCAGCACTCGGAAAAACAAGATATATCACCAACTCCCTGAACCAATATTTGCTGCAATGACTTAAGTACACGGCCATTTCTCTGGTATTCCACTGTCAAGATGTTTTATTGTACACAATGTGGCCATACCTGCATGTGAAAGCCAGGTCTCGTCACACCTCTGAAGCTAAGCAGTGCAAGGCCTGGTCAGTACTGTGATGGGAGACCATGGCTGCTGCATAATTATAATGAGCACATTGTGTCCTTTGGCACCCACATTGCCGAGAAGGAGTCTGGTGTGTGTGTGTGAGCGAATGGTTGGTGGTTGCTTCTAGTAGTGGTGAAACATCTTTGAATGTCCAGTCTGCGCTAAAAAATCTTCATATAAACATCTTTTTTTCAGAATCTGTATTTCAAATTGGTCCATATTTTAAAAGAATGATGATGATATGTTTTGTCAAATTGAATATGACAATATCCCAATGTGGCCTCTTGAAGAAAATAATTGCCCATGCATGATCTAGAACAGGACGATATAATTGGGGTCTTTTCTTATTGATAGTGTTAACTTCTGTTGTCAAAGTGAATTCCAACATGCTGTCTACACAATCACAGACAAACATGATTTAGGGTATTTTCTGTTAAAAGAAAAAGAAAGAAAAAGGAAACGTCGCCGCTGGAGCCCTGTCCAATTTGATTCTCAGTCGATACTCGAGCGTGAGCCTGGAGGTGGCTGTGATTGCCGCGTGTTTTGATCCAGAGTTTGAAGTGCTGTTTCCCTTTTCAGCTACAGAGGAAAAGACACATAGGCAACGACATAGTAGCCATCGTGTTCCAGGAGGAAAACACGCCTTTCGTCCCAGATATGATCCAGTCCAACTTCCTGCACGCGTATGTGGTGGTGCAGGTGGAGAACCCCTGCTCGGACAATGTGCTTTACAAGGTCAGTTTAAGAATTCATGAACATTTGAACATAACTTAAAATTCACTTGCTATTTGCAGATTTATGTATGTATTTTTTATTTATTTCAACAGTATATTGACTCATTGACTGCCAGCCGTTTTTGATTATTTACATGTAATTGACTTTCAAGACCCACAGAATATTATGTGCTATGATTTTGTGAAATATGAAACCAGATTCTGAAACACTGGATTGTATACTTTCATCAGCAAAAATATGTTTGTTTTTAGCTATTTTTGTTGTCCTGTAATCCAGTGTTTTTCAAACTTTTTTGAGCCAAGGCACTCTTTTTTTCATTGAAAAAATCCCGCGGCACACCACCAGGAGAAAATGTTAAAAGATATACCCTCTAGCCCAGGGATACCCAAAGTGGGGCCCGCGGGCCAAAGTTGGCCCACCTCCGCTGTAAGTTTCTAACTGCGTCCCTCAACCTCAATGAACAACAGTGACATGTCTGAGATCGCGCGGGCGCACCCAAAGCCCTCTGAACGGAATCTGTCCAGTACTTTACTGTTGTATGGAGATACACTCCTCACTCATGGTTCACATCTACTTGCACTAAAATGTTTTTTAAAATCAAACACATCTTTTAAAACAATTGGGTGCAAGGCACCTTTATGTTCTTTTTTTTCAGCCTACTATTATAATTTTTTTGAGCAATTTAATGTTTTATCAAATTGAGAGGATTGTGCTGCCGAACTGCCACTCCCCCTCCTCACCGGAGGGAAATGGCGAGTGGAACTATTCACCTGTGCAATCCGCACCCACCCGGTGTGTTAAAAAAGACGGACACACACTTCAGAGTGAGTTCAAGCAGGACAAGCAGGGATCGCAGCGCACGATCCACGTAAGTAGAAGCAACAAATACTGCGCAAAACAAACCCTTCTACATCCCCATGAAAGAAGCCGGTAAGCGCCGTCCTCACTCGCAATCATTGAATGTCAGAACTTACGCTGAGCTTTATGATGCGTTCAAGAGCCCTTTGGAGGAGCGGAAACACGGACTCTTTAACAGTTACTTTGTTTTGATTGTTTATAAATGTTGTGGTGTGTTTAGGCAAAATAAAACAAACTCCAGGAACAAATCAGGGTTAAAGGAGCAATATGTAATATTTGCATGTCAAGTCATCATTAAATGACCCGAATATTTCAAAAGGCGTTATTAAATCATACTCTTTTCGAATTCATCTTTAACTGATAACAGTAGTTCAGCCGAGATATTTGATCATCAAAATTAGTTTTACGACCCGTAAAAGTTGTTATTGTTTTGATTTTGATGTCCTACCCTCCGCCGTTTCGCCAATCAGGAAGTGTCATGTAAGTCAGTGATCGAGTTGCCAGAACTCCGCGCGGCTCATTAATCTCAGTGGTAAAATAACATGTGGCGTAGAACTAAAAAAGGTCTTGTTATGACTCTCAAATAATTAATGACAAAACAAAGACTAAAACGAGGATTTATATCGGGATGCCTTTGAACAATTGAGACAGCTGATAAAAGTTCACGTGTGATGCAAAATTTTCTAGTTTGATTCCGTTCTTCACGGTGTCTCTGTTCGTGTGAACCAGTGGCCTAGCGGTCTAAGCTACGCGCTTACGATGCAGGAACCCGGGTTCGATTCCGGGCTATGTCCTTTTGTATTTATTGCATGTGATCACATTCTATGACAGATTGCTCTAAAAACGGTAAAAGATGAAGGTCAAGACGTTTTTTTGCAGATTATAGCTTAATTGTAAAAATAATCATTTAAGACCACATGTACCCCAATTAAAATAATGTTAGTCTCTTTTTGATGTGGGACTTTTACATGTTTGTCTAAAAAATAGGGAATAAATAAAATTGAAAGGTGATATCCTCTTGAGCAAACCCTGATGTTGATACGCTGAAGAAATACGTTCCAACATCCATTCTTCCCACTCCGATTTTGGACATCAATTTCTTATTTATTTTGCATAAACTATGTATAATTACATTGCTTTTATTTTGTTTTTGTTTTTTATCTCAAATGTCCAAATTATAATAATAAAAAAACATTAATCAAAACATTCATTCAGCATTAGCACGGCTGTCATGGCAATGTGAATGGAGACGGACAAACAACTGATAAAATAATTCCCTGTGTTTGCTGCTGGATTTGGTGTGAATCTGGCAACCTGAGTCAGGGAGAGTGGGAGAGGACTACAAAATATTGACTGTGACTGCAGTACCACTTTTGGCCAGATTTTTACATATTGCTCCTTTAACTAGTCTGATTTCGTTAGTTTAATATTCAGTTCACAACTAATTGAGAATACTTGTCCTATGTTAAAAATATTAAGTTAAAACAGAGTTAAAACCTGATCATGTTTAGAAAATGCAGTTAGCAATTATGTTCCCAAATTCATTACTTAATGTTAAAATGTATTGTTTAAAAGTGTGCTAAAACCAGATCTACTGATCAGTGATGTCTCCCTTTTTTGATAAAAGCTAAGATAAAGTAATATGATTCAAATGTAGTTAAAAACTTTTGTTCAAAATAAATATATGAAAATAGGCTTTACTTTTGTAAAGTAAATGTCATTTGCTAGTACAATAAACCTATACATTATAAATCACTATATAGTAATGCAAAACTGTTTAGAACAAGGTCTTCAACAAACAGTTTACTGACATGAGCAGGTTAAAAATATAGATTATTTAATTTGGGAGTATGATATTATTTAATATAAATTAGTACCTTCATTTACTAGCAGGAACATTATTTGTTTACAAGTGGCGTTTAAAAAACAGTTTAGTTACATAGAAAATGTATGTTTCTGTTCTCTTAGAGGTTTTTTATATGATTTTAAGCTGTAAATAAGCCATGACAGAAAATCTCCCTCCTCTGGACCCTGATTACCCGGCCGGAATCTTTCCGTACTGTAGTCTCCTCAAACCTGCATATTTCCCTGGAGTCTCCACTTCACTAAGACTGTGTTGATTTCATTCATTCAGCTGTGATTTGCACTGATAGACAATAATTAATGCATTTAATTGAACTTGATCAAATCTACATTTATTTTTGTTTCATGCAAAATATCGGTGTATTTGGCCCGCGGCCGACTGGCAAATTTTTACTTTGGCCCTTGGAAGCAAAAGGTTTGGGCACCCCTGCTCTAGCCTATATTCACAATATAAAGTAATTCTCATCAAAGTGCTTAAAAAGACCCTCAGGCCTTGACTTTAAGCTTTGTTAAATATTTCTCAATACAATGAGTTAACACAAGTTTGGGAATAAATATTTAAAAATCCACTCTCAGCTGGTCCTGAACACGAGTCCATGGCTCTGTCTGTGCGTCCATGGTTCTGTCCAAGCGTCTATGGTTGACAAAGCAGCCACAGCTGCCTGGGGGTCAGAGCGGAGGATTTGAATCCTGTTCAGAAATGGCATACTTCCTTTTCAAATACGTCTCAATCACTTTCGCTTCTCACGAGCCACAATGCCTCTGCCCCCGCTACCTGTTACATTTGTTGGTTGTGTCCAATTCTTAAGTTTCTCGCCACAATGCTCCCTGCTACATCCGGTGGGTGCATTCAATTCCTACGTTTCAAAGTACTTAGCTATCGGTTGCCACTCACTGATATGAAAAAGTATTACGTGGTTACTCCACAGTTCAAAACAAGTCAGCACTCGCCGAAGCTGATGCATTTATTTTTAGACAAAGTAGGCGAATTTCTCACGGCACACCATAAAATATCATACGGCACACTAGTGTGTCGTGGCACAGTGGTTGAAAAACACTGCTTTAATCCCCAGTCGAATCGAGGGAAGTTTGACAGAAATCGCCCGTCTCAGTCAAATGGAGCTTAAGCGGAGGTTCAGGATGGTAGACTACCTACGTTATCCCACCAAGCTAGACCACGCCTTACTCAGCCTGTCTTAATCAACTCCCCGCAGCCGTGTCAATCAAGCCAGCGTTTAAGAGCAAAGCAGAGCACAGCTCACCAAACGGACTTCAAGCTGCAACGGGTTGCTCTTCGTCACCTTGTTACTCACGCCTCGCACATTGTTCGTCCTGCATGGTCGCGGCTCCTCTTCCACATCACATGTTTGGGGCTGCGCGCCATGGTCGCTGTGTCTCCACCGCGGCTCCTCTCCTGCGGACTCGCTGCCGTCGTCTCCCCGTGGCCGCTGCTACTCGCGGCCAGGCGTTACTCCGTGCACCCTGCAGCTTCCATACCGGGCACGGGACTTCTGTCTGCCTGCCGTTGTCTGCCTGCCGCTGTCCACCCGTCTCCCTGCCTCCACTCACGGTACAGTGTCGGTTTCGTGTTTTCCGCACTACCATGAACGTACTGAACTGCGGCGTGTCAGTTATTCCCGCCGAATTGTCTCGCAGGCTGTGTTTCTACCCGCTGCATTGCTCTTCAGGCTGTTCGTTTTACCATCTGCATTGGCATTTAGACTGTCCGTTTTCACCATGGACCGTACATTTTAACCACTGTGTTGGCCTTCTGGCCGTCCGTTTTACTCATGGGCTGAACATTCTACACACTGCAGTGGCCTCCAGGCTGTCAGTTGTAACCATGGACTATAACATCTGTCGTCTGCATTGGCCTTCGCGCTGTCTAAATTGACCGTGGACTGTAAGTTTTGTCCACTGCATTGATCTGATTGGTCGGTGCGCGGCCGAGCCCCTCTGTGCTGTTCATTTGCCCAGTGCTCTGGCCTTACGCCACTTCAACGCCACGCTTCGACGCCACGCTTCGACGCCACGCTTCGACGCCACGCTTCGACGCCACGCTTCGACGCCACGCTTCGACGCCACGCTTCGACGCCACGCTTCGACGCCACACGCTTCGACGCCGCACGCTTTGACTCCTCCTCCACGCCGCACGCTTTGACGCCGCACGCTTTGACGCCGCACGCTTTGACTCCTCCTCCACGCTTTGACGGCGCACGCTTCAACTCCTCCCGCACGCTTTGACGCCACACGCTTCGACTCCTCCTCCACGCCGCACGCTTTGACGCCGCACGCTTCGACTCCTCCTCCACGCCGCACGCTTTGACGTCGCACGCTTCGACTCCTCCTCCACGCCGCACGCTTTGACGCCGCACGCTTCGACTCCTCCTCCACGCCGCACGCTTTGACGCCGCACGCTTTGACGCCTCAACGACGCCGCACGCCTCAACAACGCCGCACGCCTCAACGACGCCGCACGCCTCAACGACGGCGTGCGCTTTGACGCCGCCTCACGCCTCAACGACGCCGCACGCCTCGACGACGCCGCACGCCTCGACGACGCAGCACGCCTCAACGACGCCGCGCGCCTCAACGACGCCGCGCGCCTCAACGACGCCGCGCGCCTCAACGACGCCGCGCGCTTTGACGCCACGCGCTTCAACGACGGCGCACGCTTCAACAACGGCGCACGTCCGCGGCCGCACGCTTCATCGCAGCTCGTCGGCGGCCGCACGCTTCATCGCAGCACGTCGGCGGCCGCACGCTTCATCGCCGGTGGCCGCTGTTTGACGCCACGTCGGTGTCCGCCTCCTGCCGCATTCTCGACGCCACGCTTCGACGCATTCGTGTGCTCTCATCCATTCATCGTGGGACCAGTGTCGACCATGGACTCGCGTACCCTTTTGGGGGGTGAACAATCCAACGCTTGGAGAGTTCTGCTTCACAATGACGGGAAGAGCCGGCATCGACGGATCAGGTCAGTGGTCTGACTGAAGACGTGGTCTGACTGAAGACGTGGTCTGACTGAAGACGTGGTCTGACACTGCCCGTTGGTCCTTTTTACTCGAGTGATAGTGGTTCGAGGTTTCTCTTTTCAGCTTCGCAGGAACGCGATGCCGCAACGCCGCACCAAAACTCTGCTACAACGCCGCGACGGTGGCCTGCTGCAACGCTGGCCTGCAAAGACTGCATGAGTACTGTTCGGCGTGGCCTTCAAACCTGGCCGGCTATCTTCCCCAGGCCGCACTCATTGGCTTTTGGGTGCAGCACTGCCCGCCACGGTTTGCGTGCACTCTGAGTGGCTGTAGGCGGTGCTCCTTCTCATGTTCCCCAGGCATATTCTCTCCTGGTCTCCTGGTGCGGCTCCTGCCGCCGAGCCTGTCTCACGCTTCGCCTTACCTGACGCACCCTGGCCCTCATTCTGACCGGGCCCTTGTGCGTTGGTTTTTGGGGGTCCAGAGATCTCCTATCGAACATCAATCTTCCTGGGTAAGTGTACTTCATGAATCTCATTTTCACCTTCTAGTCTCCCCAAGTGGAATCATGTTCGAATATCAGCGCTCTAAACACCAGCAGTTCATCCTTCATTCAGCATTCTCCTTTCCCTCTCACTGCACACTCTCAGTCTCTGGACATCAGCATCGCGGGTACTGCTGTCACTGCCTCATCTACATCGGCATTAAATACATTCTCTAAAATCCACTTCGAGTCACACTGCTCCACCCTCATAAGAAGATCCTTAAAGGAGTATTGGCAATGGTCCTTGTTCTGTAGTTTAGGTCCTGGACGACTAGCCTGTCTGTCCGTGGAGTGGATTCCCTCTCTCAATGTAGGGTCTTCCGAAGGTTTCTCACTTTTTTCCCCACAGGGTTTTGTGAGTTTTCCTTGCCATGCAGGAGGGTCTGGACAGTTAGTGTCCAACTAGAAGGCCCGTGGTGATGATCCAGGATACTTTAACATGCTACAACATCTATGGACATTTTATCAACATTCATAGACTATAATTACTCCTTAAACAATCCCTCGACGACCCCCTGGTCTGAACAAATTCAAAACCTCTGCTCCCTGCATGTAACCTCTCTTCCTTTCTCTACATCCGCCACTCCTTCCGGATAGGAGCAGTCACTTGGGCTGCTGCCCTGGGACTCCCTCAATCATCTCTCCAGGAGCTCGGTTCCCGGTTCTCTACCACATTCATCCGTTCTGGCAGCCCAGCGCCTCCTCATATAAGTACGTATGCTTCTCCTGGTGGTGGCAACTCCTCATTTCCAGCATGCCGCGCACTCGAGCCGAGCTTGTGCGCGTGCCAACGCCTAGCGCTAGAGCCGAGCTCGCGCACGGACATTACGCCGCGCACTCGAGCCGAGCTCGTGCGCGTGCCAACGCCTAGCGCTAGAGCCGAGCTCGCGCACGGACATTACGCCGCGCACTCGAGCCGAGCTCGTGCGCGTGCCAACGCCTAGCGCTAGAGCCGAGCTCGTGCGCGTGCCAACGCCTAGCGCTAGAGCCGAGCTCGCGCACGGACATTACGCCGCGCACTCGAGCCAAGCTCGTGCGCGTGCCAACGCCTAGCGCTAGAGCCGAGCTCGCGCACGGACATTACGCCGCGCACTTGAGCCGAGCTCGTGCGCGTGCCAACGCCTAGCGCTAGAGCCGAGCTCGCGCACGGACATTACGCCGCGCACTCGAGCCAAGCTCGTGCGCGTGCCAACGCCTAGCGCTAGAGCCGAGCTCGCGCACGGACATTACGCCGCGCACTTGAGCCGAGCTCGTGCGCGTGCCAACGCCTAGCGCTAGAGCCGAGCTCGCGCACGGACATTACGCCGCGCACTCGAGCCGAGCTCGTGCGCGTGCCAACGCCTAGCGCTAGAGCCGAGCTCGCGCACGGACATTACGCCGCGCACTTGAGCCGAGCTCGTGCGCGTGCCAACGCCTAGCGCTAGAGCCGAGCTCGCGCACGGAAACATTCACTCACACCATGCGCCTTCCATAAACGCAGCAACAAAGTCATGGCAAACGCATCGCTAGCCAAGCTCTCTCTTTGGGGATCATGATCTGCACCCAGGCGCAGATCTCTTCAGAGCACGGCCACAGCCGGGGCCTAAGCTCCAAACCAATAAACAAACTCAATCCATAAAATAAACAACTCTTAAACGCATCTCGTCTCTTTTAGTCTCTCCAGATTGAAATGGAGCTTAAGCGGAGGTTCAGGATGGTAGACTACCTACGTTATCCCACCAAGCTAGACCACGCCTTACTCAGCCTGTCTTAATCAACTCCCCGCAGCCGTGTCAATCAAGCCAGCGTTTAAGAGCAAAGCAGAGCACAGCTCACCAAACGGACTTCAAGCTGCAACCACCTCCTCCCCACCTCCGCCTCAGGATTTCTTCACTCTCACATTCACCTTGCCTTGTTGCCACCACCAGTGTCTAGGCCCCGGGGGATCATGATCTGCACCCAGGCGCAGATCTCTTCAGAGCACGGCCACAGCCGGGGCCTAAGCTCCAAACCAATAAACAAACTCAATCCATAAAATAAACAACTCTTAAACGCATCTCGTCTCTTGTAGTCTCTCCAGGTTGAAATACGTCAATGGCAGTCAATGAGTTAATACTGCACAAAAGCCATCACAAGTTAAGATTGTGAATGCAACCTATTCTTTCACTTACAAATTCAGCAAGCTGTTTAAATGTATGAGGGACAGGATATGTAAGATATATGTAACAATTATGTAACTTGATGACATAGACCGTAGATATATCTAAAGCATCAATTATACAAAATGTCACAACAACGTACGAACAATATACCAGCCTCGAGCCCCGGAAAAACAATCTGATGTTTACTTTGGGAAACAGCCTGGTATTTAATGTCCGAAGCAAGATTTAAGTCTTTTAGAATCCATAGCATCTGTTTTTTTTCATGCAGTATTTTTCCCCTTCAGGTGTCTGTAACAGCAAGAGACGACGTGCCTTTCTTTGGCCCTGCTCTGCCTGACCCGGCTATCTTTAAAAAGGTTTGGAGCTACACAAACACCAGCACTCCGATGCTTCTCTTGACAAACCAACATTAAATCTTACTTTCCTCTGCTTGTTTCTTTCACTCCTCAGGGCCCAGAATTTCATGAATTTCTTTTCACTAAGCTCATTAATGCAGAGTATGCCTGCTATAAGGCTGAGAAGTTCGCCAAGCTGGAGGTGAGAGTCATGGAGATGTGTGTGCAGTTGTGTGTGCAGATGTGTGTGCAGATCTGTGTGCATACGACGTAGCTTATCGGATGCTGTTTCTGCATCCATTTGGCTATATAGTATCTTTGAATGCATTGAGCTAGTGGTGACAAATGATAGCTTTCACAGTCATTACTGAAGTCATGTTTATAAAGTGGTCCCTCAACACGGTTCACTTTGTGTTTTTTTTTTTCTTACCTTTAATTAGAGTAAAAAGATGTTTTTGTGGGTTGTGTGTACCGCTGTTATTAATTCAGAGGACTACAGCGTTCTTCCTGTTGCCCTTATTCCTACTCCTGCCCCCCAGTGAAGTGTTCTGCCTCCTCTTGTATTTTACGGCGTATGCACGGCTTTTGACGGTTGTAGCAGCTGTCAGACCAGGTTTGACATCGCACTTCAGCAATCGTAAATTCAGGCGGCTAGAAAAGTGTATAAAGTCTGCAGTGAGGGGTTTTACAGCCTTAAAACTTCATGAAGCTGCTTCTTCACGGAAACTGGAGCACCCGGAGGAAACCCATGCAGACAGGCAGAAGAACATGCAAACTCCACACAGAAAGGCCTGGAGGTGGAATCGAAACCCAGGACCTTCTTGCTGTGAAACACAAGCTCTAAACGCTGTCATCAAACACAAACAAAATAAATGATGAACTTATGTTGTTTCAGGAGCGCACACGGTCAGCTCTTCTGGAGACGCTCTATGAGGAGATCCACATAAACAGCCAGTCCATGATGGGACTGGGAGGAGACGAGGACAGGCTGGAGAACGGGAGTGGAGGGGGGGGAGGGGGAGGCTTCTTTGAATCCTTTAAGGTACAGTGGCTTTCTCATATCTCTACATTTCACCTCTGCATGACCAACACAAAGCTGAGATTCTGGGTATTCACACACCACAAAACTCTGGTCTGCCACTGTTCTTTGGCATATTGCGCAAGTCAATTCTTTTGTATACATTTTTATGCTTTTTCATTATTTTGGTTTCGCCTAAATGGTTAGAAATCACATGCACACTCAATTCAACCAGTTACAAACCCCGACCTCATCACATATTGTAGAAGGACTTTGCATCTTTGCAACTGAAGAAATAGCATTTAATTGAATAGATTATGTAATCATCATGAATGTGAAATTTTTGGTGTATAACAATTACACCTACTGTATATTACAATCACATCAATACTTTTTTATGTTTCTATTATACTATAATAACAGTAGAGTTTGGCTTAAAATGGGGAAAGGAAACTGCTTTTAATGTATTATGTACCGTAGGAAATTTGTCTTGGACTCACAGGCTGTTACATTTTAAATACACATAAGCCAGACATAAAACACAACACAGTAACACACAGATATGGGTACAAACCAGTTCTTATAACATAGTTGTTGTAAATGATAGAATAAAGCATGCACTTGTGTTAGCCTAGTGCCAAAATGAGGCGCAGACCTTGGTTTTCTCACTCTTATTGACCGCGTTCCGTTGCGTCCGCTCTGGCGCTGTCACTGGGAGCTCCATGTGACCGCGGCGGACAGCGGAGCGAGGCCCAGCAGCAGGGGAGGCGGGCGGGCAGGATGTGGATGTGTGTCTGATGAATGCTTTAATGACTCCTCATTATGAAGCTGGAGATGCGCTTCTCCCCAAGGCCTGCGTCTCCCCGTGGAGTCGCTCCTCCTCTGACTCACCCGCTCTGTCATCTCTCAAATCTCCCTGCACTTAAACATCAACATAACAGAAATATGACTCATTTGTGCTGCATGTTTTGATGCTTCCATTCTTCCTCTGTCCATGTCGTGCACTGCCGAACACAATTTCTCTACATGACATTGCCTTAATTACTATTTTGCTTGTGTTTTTTCTTCATCAGGCTGCTTTTTTTTCTATTAAGCCAGCTCATTCTTTGTATTTTTCATTGCATTTCTCTTGTCACCTTGTTTTTATTGTTCATTTTAGTTAAAACATTTTTTATCATAGATTCAAATTTGACACAATAACTACTAATCGACCTCAATAGTAAGCTACGACGTGCCAAACTATGACAATGACAACTTGTACTGTAGGGGCATTCAGATCACTAAGGCTTAGCTGTCCATGTGGTGACATTGAGTATGTTTCCCGTGGCCAGGAAGTATCATGCGTCCTCACCCGAGCGGAACTATCTCACAGCATCCAGGACCTTGGCATCAGTCACATCTACAGAAAACACAACCTTGGGTGGAGGTCATTGATTCAGGACGGCAGAACAAACACACTGCTGGGTCCTATCCTTCCACAGAATTATGAATATGCACTGTTGCTAAATTCTAAAAACCGACTTTTATGGCAAATATGATTCTGTGGTTAAGCATAGTGGTTCTCAACTGCGATGGTGTCAGGGTCTATTATCAACATTAGAATAATGTAAAACTAAACTAATACTGAATCTCTTCATAATAGTATTGAATAATGGGACAAAGCTGATATTATAGACACAATATAATCTTGAAGTAAATGTTTGCTAAAATTTGAAGTAGTTTTTTAATATAATTTACAGCATATTCGGATTTTTCATTTTGTTTTTTCATTCACTTAAAGGTGTATAGGAGGATTTTCTACTTCTGGGTGGATCATCAAGACTATTGGTCCTTCTTATTGTCAATCATTCTGGTGATACGTGCTCATCAAATAAGACCGGAGAGTTTTGTTCAAAAATTGGAGAGAGCGGTTCTTTCCTAAAAAAAATGCGAAAATCCTCCTATATACTTTTAAGTTTAAAAAATTGCATTATGGACACATATACTTGATTTATTCTTTAAGACTAAATTTGATTTATTATTGAATAGCTCTAAATCACAACAATAGTTATTTCGGAGGACTTCACAAAACCACCGTCAAACTCGCCAACCCAGATCAGAGAATCAACAGTTTCTTCAGTGTAGCAAATACATATATTTTAAAAGTACATGCCAACAATGGTCACACAAAACATATACATTTGTTTGTGATTCCCCAAAACCCACAGGTTGAGAACCACTGGTTCAGTATACACTCAAAACAAATAAATAAACATATATTATACATAGCCAGAGCAGCAAAGGTCAGATTTTGTGAATGATTTTTGATTGTAGCTCCAATATGGTGATTTTAGATGATTTTTGGAAAAGACAGTGATCCTCCAGAGACTGCGGACTGACGGTGTCTCCTCATCTCTCATCCCCCAGCGGGTCATCCGCAGCAGGAGCCAGTCTATGGACGCCATGGGCCTCAGTAACAAGAAGTCCCACACAGTCTCCACTAGTCACAGTGGAAGCTTTACCCATAATCCTGCAGAGAGCCCCAAAACCCCAGGCATTGTAAGTAGCTTTGTTTTGGTCCAGGTGAAGTCCAAATGGTCTGATTAGTGTGTGTCACTTCTATCAGTATTGATTGATAATGACAAGGGCGCACCATGTTAGTTCAAAAATGACTCAAGAAGAAGTACAAAAATAGTCGTGCAAGAAATCGAGAGTCGATTCATTTTGTGGACTTGGCTTCTGATATTGTCGAGTCACTATAATTGAAATACAAAGCATTAATTCAATCAGGAGAAAGGTCAGTTCTAATGGAGAAATGAAAAATGTGTTAATCCAAGGAGAGCAATTTCTTTAAAAGGTTAAGAACTAAAACACACAATATATCTCTAAGCTGACTTTGATTTCAATAGTTTTTTTGTTTTGCACTTAGCATTTGCTGCTTCGTCTAACAGGTCAACACAGTCATTCGCACACATTTTCATTCATTCTCATCTCTTCAAACTATACCCACACTATCGCTGCTTTGATAAAGAGCGCCTAAGCAGTAATAAATTAGCTTGTATTTTTTGCATCATGAAAAGTGCTGATAAATATGAAAAATTGTAACATGTATTATGGCAAAACACAAATCTATACAAAACAGCTGTTTGACTACCCAGACTCCCTCCTCCCTCTCCTGCCTGTGCTTCTGTCGTTTAACCTTCCCAAGCTTCTTTGTGCATGTGTGCATTCTTTGCATGGCAGTGGATGTGACCGTGAGTAGACTTCCACTAGTTTTAGTCATTTAAGGTTGTGTCGTAACTTATCTACCTGGCTTGACTTGGTTTTCCACCAAACAAAACAGTGATAATGAATGGAAAGTTATCAGACCCATGCGAAAGGTACGATAAAGAAATATTTTGTTTCATATATACAAAACCTATCAGCCAAATTCAGGAAAAACCCAAAGCACTTTTTTGAAAGACAAAAGACACAAAGAAACTGTCCTTCTTAACACAAGGACTTGGCGGCCCACTTTCAAATTAATACAATTCTGGAAAAAAAATGTAATTAATTAATTTTTTGTCTTTGATACATGTTAAAAATTATTCAAATCTATTGAGTACAGCAAAACTAAATGCTAAGTGCTGCAAGTAAATAGTGTGTTGCTAAGGTAACTAGCACTAGTTCCAAGGTGAGACTGCTCTGAACCAGTCTGGGACCTGTCTAGGATAGAGATAATAATATAGAAACAGAAAAATTCACACATTTATGAAGATCAAAAACGTACATCAGCGGAGTATTTACATTTCCCATATGAGTGTTAATCCAGTTAACAATAATTACAGTACATTAAAAAGAGTAAAGATACAATCCCTCAATACATAGTTCCCACATGACGTCACTACATACGGGGATTTGCCGACCCGGCGCCATTTGTCTTGGCATTCTGTGGGCAAAACAATAGAAAAAGAAGCTGAAACGTGTTAATGTCGTGATAAAGTTGAAAATGGTCATCTCCTGCTGGGTCAATGGATGTTCAAATCGTGCCGGAGGTTCCGTTAAACTTGGATTTTACAGTATACCCATCATTAGACTTCATGAATGTGAGAAGACTAAGCTTTTGTCAGAACAACCACGGAGGTTATGGCTTGCGAAGATAAACAGGCAAGAAACTCCCTCAAAACACGCAAGAATATGCTCGGAGCACTTTGTGTCAGGTGCGTATCGTATCTTATAATGTGTTGACAGACGTAATTTACTCAGTACTAACTTGTGTATGCTGATATCTGGTAACTTGAGAGTTTCATTATTTAGCGTTAGATTACTTTATTATGAGGAGGATCGGTGTCGCGTCCGAGGCTCTCGAGGGCAACGTAAATGTATTAAATAGATAATAATAGTTCTATGGTGGGCTAAAACAATGTTCACAAACAGCATTGCTTCTGTAAAAAGATCTGTGTCATAAAATAAACTGCTCTTTACGCCTGGAAAAATCAGTTGCCCACCATTCACCAAAACATACGGTCAAAAACGCGGAAATAAACAATAACAGCAATCCAGAGTGTCCGTGTGGCATTAGCATTAATTAAATTAATTGTTAATATAATTAAAATAATTAAATGGAGCTCCAACTGGTATTAAATCTAAAGTTTTTGAGAAATGTTTGCATTGCTTGTTAATTTTTGCTGCATAATTTGATCAAATATGTAAAACATGTCCGTAGCACGTTAAACTGTGGTGCCATTGTATTAATATACAATTATTTGCTCAAAAGTTGCCCTTTTTTTCCAATTTGCGTTTGAATATCTACATTTATTCTCATTCTTCTGTTTAATGGAATGCACAAACACAGCAGCGTGCCATCAAAGATGGCGTCTCCGAGGAGGTCATGTGACATTCATTGGTCTGTGGGAACTATGTATTGTTGGGGAAAACTAGGATTATGCAAATAAACAATGAAGAATAATAATAAAAGATTAAATTGGAAGTTTACTGGTGGAAAATAAAGAATTCCAATGTAAATCTTACTTCTATACCAATAATTAAAAACACGGGCTGTTAATTTAAAATATAAAACTGGATGAAATTGATGGAGCATATACTAAAATGTAACGCTAAACAAAGAGGCATAGTATAGAATGTATGGACAAATGGCCAAATAAAAAGGTCAAAGGGGGAAAGGCTAAGACAGAGCCCTGAGGATCAATTCATTTAAATTCAATTACATTTATTTTTGCATAGTCCTAAATACCAACAGTAGAATCTTCAAAGATCAATTCGCCAACACAGATCAGAGAATTAACCAAGAAGGGCAATGATATAACACACATCGAGCCATCGGTTCATAAGCGGCGTTTGACCAATGTCCATAAATATCTGTCCCAGTGTTCCCCATTGTTTTGGGGCGTGGCACACCTGTCATTGAACACGATCACATGGCACACACCCGCTGAAACTGATACAAAATTGAAACTCGACAGCGTTTATTAACAAAGCAAAATCTTTTTCATCGATGTGTGTTATGTAGAAAATCAAACAAGCACAAAAAGCCTTTCTAATCTTCTCACGTTATTTTCTTTTCAAATGATTTTGACCAAGCAGGTGATATTGGATCATTTCTAAGGCACACTAATAAACATCTCCAGGCGCACCAACGTGCCGCAGCACACTGGTTGAAAAACACTGATCTAGCCTGACCTGCGGGTGCCAGGTTGATCGGATCAAAGGTGGTTGTGCCTTCGATAACAGCATATCGCTTCAAGGAAAACAGTGAAAGGTTTGTTTTTGTTTTCCCAATATCAAAGTCAGCAGCCTTTGATATTGGGAAAGTAATGCTTCTATGATGACTCACATCAAACTGATCAAAGTCAGGGATTTAAAAACACAATATTGTGTCCTGTTCTCCTTGATAGTTATGACAAATGCGGAACATGGTTCAGATTTGTTCTTATAATAATTGTTTTGTATTTAATTCTCAAAATTAGTGTAACATAAAGTATTCAGAATTCCATATGGTTTTGCATCTCCTGGCATAACAGTAGATCATGTTTTTCAAAATGCCTCATGTGACACTGCCAAATCACATGAGTCAATAAAAAATTAAAATTAAAATTAAAATTAAAAATAAAATTGTTAAATCTTTAACAAATGAGAAATAAAGTTTTGGATTTAAATATAAAATCAAAATTAAAATTAGGTTAAATTGAGCAACCTTTTCCACATAACTCTGTCGATTAACTATATTATATAATAACTATGTTTGGTGCATTCATTCACTTTATCAATAAAGTCCAACATGACAGGGTTATGTGGAAAAGGTTACTTAATTTACATCCAGCACTATATGTCTTAGCGTGTGCAATTTAATCCAATGTACTGCATACCAGAACAGCAAAGATCGGTTAAATACACAGAAAAGAACTGCTGTATAAGAAGTAACACATGGGGCGTTATCAAGCTGTATCTCAAATGCAAAAGTGGTTAGCAGCCTTTCCAATCAGATCTAACCCATGTGTATCACTCACAAGTCCTACAGAACTAAACCTGGGAAATGGAACGCTCTGTCTCACTTTGCACCTGCAGTTTAGCACCAAACAAAACCCATGGTGCATTTGAATTCAGCCACTAAACTCTGTCTGAAGTTTATAAAGTGTGTTTCGTTCATTGCATCAGCGACCGACCGGCCTTGTGTCCCTTCCGGCAGACACGCTCGCCACTTTCCCTTGTGTTCCTTGTGCTTCTGCGTTCTCCTGCAGCCTGTTTTCACACTCCCCAATGAAGCTCCACTTAACATCATGTCCAAAAGCGCCAGTCCTTTTGCTCGCACTTCACAGTTTATATTTCTTTTGAGCTATGTGCATGGAATCTTATGACGTGTGTTTTTTCTTTTTCTTCTCCTCCCCCCACCCCCTCTCTCTCTCTCTCTCTCTCCAACCCTGGCTTTTTTTCAATCTGTCATCTCCTGCCTCTGCTCTGGCTTTCTCTCTTTCTCTCTCTGCTTCTTGTCTCATGTGCCTCAGTCATTACTTGTCCCAGGCAAAAGCCCCAGTAAATACGGACGTCGAGGCAGTGCCATAGGGATAGGAACAATAGAAGAGGTTCAAGTTTAATTTCTACACTTTTTATTGTTTCTGATGTGTTTGTCGCTGTGCTTATGTAAGACACGTGTTGATGCATGTAGCTAAAAGTTTAATTCAAAATGTATTCGTTTCACTCATTCATTCACCAGACCCATAAGAAGGTTAAAATTGTTTACACTTGTTAAACTTAAAAAACTAACAAATGCTATGACAGATATAAAACTCCAAAAGTAGATCTTGTCCTCTGTTAACAATGTGTTGTAGGTGTAGGTGAAACTCAGGAAAGTCCATTTACCTCTGTAATCCAAGACTCAATATTTGAATAACAGAAATAAATGAACTTTAGAACAGTATTTCCTTATGTAAATGTCATCCAAGAAAATAACTGATCTCAAAACCTAATCAAGAGTATTGTCCTGATTTAGACTAAGATGTTGGTATTTACTTTATTTGATATTAAAGTTATATTCAAAGCTTCAGGACTTCAAATCACTGCTCAAAACCCACTGGCTCTAAACTGCCTACACTTTAATTTTTTGGCTTTTAAATTTTTTTCCCTTTGTAAAGCAACTTTGAGCGTCCAAAAATAGTTTATGATACTAAAGAACGCACATTTCATATACACGTCAAGGGCATATCCACATCTCATCTCAGGCCTATTTCTTGATAATTCATTAAAGTAAACTTTACAGAATGTGTCAATAGTTGCTGAGTCCTCCTAAGGTCATTGCATCATTCATAAATCGACCATTTTTAGGTTCAAGGCTCATGTTAAAACTCAACAACACTTATACAAGGAAATGTTCCAATTTTTTCTTCTTCAAAGCAATAAGTCACAGCGACAGAAATTATTATAACTTTGAAGTTACTTTTAGTGAGTGAAAGTGAAACTTTTATTAAACCACAAATAAATTCAATAACACATCAAAGGTTGTGACTTCAAGTTACATTAAAGAGTTCGGCCAGTGGTATTTGGATCTGGATTATTTCCTGTACTGTTTGTACTTTGTTGTCCCTGTCTGATTTTTCTTCTCATATTTCATCGTTAGTCATTGATCATTCCTGGAAAGAGCCCAACCAGGAAGAAGTCTGGTCCCTTCAGCTCGCGGCGCAGCAGTGCTATTGGCATCGAAAACATTCAGGAAGTCCAGGAGAGAAGGTCAGTCTCATTGTCCGCCCACAGCAATGTCCTTGTGGTCCCAATTTTAGATTTGTTATTCTTTTACAGAAATGCATTTTTAAAGTGATTGTCTGGAGTTTGTCAGAAAGAAAAACAGAGGTACTTGATTTGAAAAAAACGATGCAAGCTCCCTCCCCCTTCCTCTCTGATTGGTCTACGCCTACGTTTCCGTAACACTTTGAAATGTTAATCGGAGAACACATTATACATATACATTATTAATACACATGCACGGAGGTTTTCAGAATTATTTGTGAACGTTTTAATGACAAAAATATTGTTTTAATGCACAAAAAACGATCGCGGCAGGCCCAGAAGTAGCTATTATCATTAATTGCACATTATAGGACACATCTGCAGAGGATCTGATTATGGATATAGGTTCAGTATATAAATGATTATGGATATAGGTTCAGTTTATAAATGATTATGGATATAGGTTCAGTATATAAATGATTATGGATATAGGTTCAGTTTATAAATTATTATGGATATAGGTTCAGTATATAAATGATTATGGATATAGGTTCAGTATATACATAAGTAACTCAGCGCGGATGTTCAGAATTCTTTGTTCAGTTTTCATGAAGTTCCAGAGGCTTCCTAATTCCTAGTTCCTAATAGAGGCTTGATTCGGAGGCTCCGCGAAAACCAACAACTGAGCATGAGCAGCTACGAGCATCAGCGCGATGATTGACAGCCCTTGGCATCACTCGATTGGTTAACGTGGACGGCATCGTGGATTCTGAGCTATAGCTAAGAGCAGGGAAGGCGGGACTTACCTGTAATATTAGAATTAATAAAATGACTTATAAGAACATGTAAGGTCAATTTAATACAATTCTTAAAATTTGTAATTCATTTAGAGTTTGCTTTAATTAAAGCAAAACTCCTTTAATTCATATATTCATCCGAAATATGAGGTAGTCATTGCCTGAATGACTACCTCGTTTTTTTTTCTTCTTTTTTTATCTTAAAGCTGCACTAACTGACTTCATTTTCGTATGCTATCCATGTCCATGTAGTGCATTGGGATATACATCCTTTTGAAGAATAATTAGCGCAGATTTGTGCTGGCGTGACATTATATTTTAGATCGAGTTTTGATGAAACAAGGAAGAGAATGTGTTTCGGGTCGCAGATTGTGACCAATCACAACGGACCACTGGCCCCCACTTTCGTGAGAAATCTACAGGTCTGTTAGCATAGACGGCTGAGTTAGCACAACAAGCCGAGGAGCTAACCTGAAGCTTTGTGTGTCTTCATCACCGGTTACTGCTTACACAGCGAAACAGCCATCCAAAAGAAAGTCCCATTCCTCCGCGCTTCCCGGTTCTATCGTTCTATGGTCACGTATTATCCATATTGGGAGACACTAGCTCCGTCCCAACAGTGTGTGTGTGTGTGGGGGGCGATAGCTTCGTGGGTGCGGGGAGGGGAGCAGAAAGAGCGAGGCCAGCGAGTCCACGGCTTCAAAATCCCAAAGTCAGTTAGTGCAGCTTTAACTTGAGAACATTCTGACTGTCTTAGAACAAGATTTGTCAACGCAACAAGCCCTTTAGTCTCAAACGTTTTCATGGATTTTTTAATTCCACTCAAGAAATTTTTTCATAACAAGATAATTTTGCATTTCGTTTTGGCTAATCTTGTTTTAAGGTGGTCAAAATGTGCTCAAATCATGATACATTTTGTCAAATGTACTGGAATACAGGTGATACAGGTTTTGAAAGACAAAAGAAAAAAATGAAATATTTTGTCCGAACAAAATATATAAAAGTTAAATATAAACAAATCAGACCAGGCTATGCTCATCGGATTAGAAAATATTTTATTTTCAACTTAACTGACCTTATTTAACAAAAGCCAATACAACTTTAAACCGCAAAAACCACAAATCACTTACCCTGTGTCGTGTGCTGCACATTCCTACGGGTCTGTTCCTGGTGTTGCAACACTGACATTTCCCCAGTCACCACTGTGGGACTCTCTTCATCTTTAATCTTAATGTACCGGTAGTCATGTTTTCAGTCTAAAGCGGTCGTGCATGTTTTCACCCTTTGACTGTGACTCTTCCAGTCGTGAGGTGTCGCCCAGCACCCAGAGGACACCAGACAGCAGCCATTTGTCACAGGAAAACAGATCAGACAACTCGTCCAATCACAGCTCCCCAGAGTTCCCTGCCACCCGGAACAGGTGAGCCGAGGTTACTGACGGCTTCAAATCAACTCTACGGCTGCTGCCCATGTGTGTCTGAAATGTGTGTCTGCAATGTGTGTCTGCAACGTGTGTCTGCATTGTGAATCTGAGATGTGTGTCTGAGATGTGTGTCTGCAATGTGTGTCTGCAATGTGTGTCTGAGATGTGTGTCTGCAATGTGTGTCTGCAATGTGTGTCTGCAACGTGTGTCTGCATTGTGAATCTGAGATGTGTGTCTGAGATGTGTGTCTGAGATGTGTGTCTGCAACGTGTGTCTGAGATGTGTGTCTGCAACGTGTGTCTGAAACGTGTGTCTGCATTGTGAATCTGAGATGTGTGTCTGAGATGTGTGTCTGAGATGTGTGTCTGCAATGTGTGTCTGAAATGTGTGTCTGAAATGTGTGTCTGCAACGTGTGTCTGCATTGTGAATCTGAGATGTGTGTCTGAGATGTGTGTCTGCAATGTGTGTCTGCAATGTGTGTCTGAGATGTGTGTCTGCAATGTGTGTCTGCAATGTGTGTCTGCAACGTGTGTCTGCATTGTGAATCTGAGATGTGTGTCTGAGATGTGTGTCTGCAACGTGTGTCTGAGATGTGTGTCTGCAACGTGTGTCTGAAACGTGTGTCTGCATTGTGAATCTGAGATGTGTGTCTGCAACGTGTGTCTGAGATGTGTGTCTGCAATGTGTGTCTGCGATGTGTGTCTGAGATGTGTGTCTGAGATGTGTGTCTGAGATGTGTGTCTGAGATGTGTGTCTGCAATGTGTGTCTGAGATGTGTGTCTGCAACGTGTGTCTGAAACGTGTGTCTGCATTGTGAATCTGAGATGTGTGTCTGAGATGTGTGTCTGAGATGTGTGTCTGAGATGTGTGTCTGCAATGTGTGTCTGCAATGTGTGTCTGAGATGTGTGTCTGAGATGTGTGTCTGAGATGTGTGTCTGAGATGTGTGTCTGCAATGTGTGTCTGAGATGTGTGTCTGCAACGTGTGTCTGAGATGTGTGTCTGAGATGTGTGTCTGAGATGTGTGTCTGAGATGTGTGTCTGCAATGTGTGTCTGAGATGTGTGTCTGCAACGTGTGTCTGAAACGTGTGTCTGCATTGTGAATCTGAGATGTGTGTCTGAGATGTGTGTCTGAGATGTGTGTCTGAGATGTGTGTCTGAGATGTGTGTCTGAGATGTGTGTCTGAGATGTGGGTCTGAGATGTGTGTCTGCAATGTGTGTCTGAGATGTGTGTCTGCAACGTGTGTCTGAAACGTGTGTCTGCATTGTGAATCTGAGATGTGTGTCTGAGATGTGTGTCTGAGATGTGTGTCTGCAATGTGTGTCTGCAATGTGTGTCTGAGATGTGTGTCTGAGATGTGTGTCTGAGATGTGTGTCTGCAATGTGTGTCTGAGATGTGTGTCTGCAACGTGTGTCTGAAACGTGTGTCTGCATTGTGAATCTGAGATGTGTGTCTGAGATCTGTGTCTGAGATGTGTGTCTGAGATGTGTGTCTGCAATGTGTGTCTGAGATGTGTGTCTGCAATGTGTGTCTGCAATGTGTGTCTGCAACGTGTGTCTGCATTGTGAATCTGAGATGTGTGTCTGAGATGTGTGTCTGAGATGTGTGTCTGCAACGTGTGTCTGAAATGTGTGTCTGAAATGTGTGTCTGCAATGTGTGTCTGCAACGTGTGTCTGCATTGTGAATCTGAGATGTGTGTCTGAGATGTGTGTCTGAGATGTGTGTCTGAGATGTGTGTCTGAAATGTGTGTCTGCAATGTGTGTCTGCAATGTGTGTCTGAGATGTGTGTCTGAGATGTGTGTCTGCAACGTGTGTCTGCAACGTGTGTCTGAAACGTGTGTCTGAAATGTGTGTCTGCAACGTGTGTCTGCATTGTGAATCTGAGATGTGTGTCTGCAATGTGTGTCTGCAATGTGTGTCTGAGATGTGTGTCTGCAATGTGTGTCTGAGATGTGTGTCTGCAATGTGTGTCTGCAATGTGTGTCTGCATTGTGAATCTGAGATGTGTGTCTGAGATGTGTGTCTGAGATGTGTGTCTGCAACGTGTGTCTGAAATGTGTGTCTGCAATGTGTGTCTGCAACGTGTGTCTGCATTGTGAATCTGAGATGTGTGTCTGAGATGTGTGTCTGAGATGTGTGTCTGAGATGTGTGTCTGCAATGTGTGTCTGAGATGTGTGTCTGCAATGTGTGTCTGCAATGTGTGTCTGCAATGTGTGTCTGCAACGTGTGTCTGCATTGTGAATCTGAGATGTGTGTCTGAGATGTGTGTCTGAGATGTGTGTCTGAGATGTGTGTCTGCAACGTGTGTCTGAAATGTGTGTCTGCAATGTGTGTCTGCAACGTGTGTCTGCATTGTGAATCTGAGATGTGTGTCTGAGATGTGTGTCTGAGATGTGTGTCTGAGATGTGTGTCTGCAATGTGTGTCTGCAATGTGTGTCTGAGATGTGTGTCTGCAACGTGTGTCTGCAACGTGTGTCTGAAATGTGTGTCTGAAATGTGTGTCTGCAATGTGTGTCTGCAACGTGTGTCTGCATTGTGAATCTGAGATGTGTGTCTGAGATGTGTGTCTGCAATGTGTGTCTGCAATGTGTGTCTGAGATGTGTGTCTGCAATGTGTGTCTGAGATGTGTGTCTGCAATGTGTGTCTGAAATGTGTGCCTGGAATGTGTGTTTGAAATGTGTGTCTGAAATGTGTGTCTGAAATGTATGTCTGCAACGTGTGTCTGCATTGTGTGTCTGCAATGTGTGTCTGAATTGTGTATCTGAAATGTGTGTTGGCAATGTGTGTCTTGAATTTGTGTCTGCAATGTGTGTCTGAAATGTGTGTCTGCAACGTGTGTCTGCAACGTGTGTCTGCAATGTGTGTCTGAGATGTGTGTCTGCAATGTGTGTCTGAGATGTGTGTCTGAAACGTGTGTCTGAAATGTGTGCCTGGAATGTGTGTTTGAAATGTGTGTCTGAAATGTGTGTCTGAAATGTATGTCTGCAACGTGTGTCTGCATTGTGTGTCTGCAATGTGTGTCTGAATTGTGTATCTGAAATGTGTGTCTGAGATGAAACAGAAGTAATGATTGTTACACATACTGTAGATCCAAATTTGATGAGACTCTTTCTAGTTGATCACTTCATTATTAGGTTGATGGTTCAAGTGGATCACATGTTTGCATTAGTCCATTATTTTTCAAATTTTTACAGCATTTGTATGTGAAAACTGCTAATATGAGACGATATGGAGCACAGATGTTGATGTTGTCTTCATAGTATAATCAAGCCGGATAAATCTCTCAATTCACATGTTTTGTTTCAATAGTTGGTGAATATTTCAGTGATTTGTCTTAGCTTAAAGAGATTGTATGTAAAATGTTCACATTAAATGATATTTCTCATCTTTATATGTGTCTCCATTAGGTCAAGTAAAGCTATTGCTGTGTCGATTGTACACTATTTAGAAATGCTCTCACCTCTCCCTTGTGGCTCGGTCATTTCCCAGCTTATACTTCCTATAAACAAATACAGGACTTTACACATAGCAGAAAGTGTTCCACGCTCAGACTGAATTGACCCAGGTGTGTAGTCTGAACATGTGTTGCAGAGCGCCGTCCATCCCAGAGCACCAGGACCTGTCTCGCTCGTCTTCCAACGCCAGCAGCTTCGCCAGCGTGGTGGAGGAGAACGAGGCTGAGGAGGAGTACGACACTGGAGTGGTACGTGTATGACTCTGTGCTGTTTGAAGACATTTCCATTTAGCTTCCCGAGCGCTGAGGTCTACCTTCATTTGCAGCTTTGACCTATACGTTTAAATATGTGTAATGCTTAATGGAATAGATAGATAATAGCAACAACCCGTCACATATGTTGTTGTGAAATTAATATGAATAATTTGACATTTGACATCTTTTTAAATGGAAAAAGTGAAATATGAATGGAAATGCAAATGTATTCTGAGAGCGAAGCAGAGACTGTGATTATTCTGTCTGTCAGGCAGCAAATGGCTTGTCGTTGATAAGTATTTCTAACAAAAGGGCACTAACTGTAGGCATTCTCTTTTTCAGGAAAGTGTATCTTCCGTAACGCCACTCAAGAGGGACTCGTTGGTCTCCGGGTTTGACGATAGTCTGTGCGCTATCAACCAGGGGAGTCTTTCAGGTGAGTGCGGAGGACTTAGGTTTCTAGGTCTACAATAGCCTGAGGACTGAGCGCCTGGAAAAGGTCTCTTGAATTCAGGTTATCGCTGAAGAATCTATATGGGACAAGGCTCTTCTGTCAGAGCAATTAATACAGGAACTCCCTAATGGAGTGAACCCCACCTCAAGTGATTGTTAAGATGTGATAAAAGTCTGTAGCGTGAGACTGTGGCAGAGATACAGAGCCTCACCTGTTTGTTCATGGATTTATTTTTAATGCCACACTGAGGTAAAGAAGTCTACACAATTACATCACCTTCTTTGCAATGAAGAGAAAACAAAATCTCCATCAGAAAGACTGTACGTATTTCCTACAGGGCTAAATATCTGTCAGAACATAACCTGTAGTCTAGCAGCAGTATAGAGCCCTCGGTGCTTGACTTTATTCCTTCTGACAGCTGCACATCTGCTGCCGTGTTTCCTCACAGCAGCGGCTCGTCTTCTGCAGCACCAGGACTCGCTCAAAGCATCAGAGCCTAAAGGGACCGACGGATGGACTAAGAGCGAGCGACCCACACTGGAGCATCGGTCGCACTCGGTGAGATTAATCATACTCATAATCATAATAGCGGCCCTTATGTGCGTTTATAGGACTTTATGATGTAGGAAAACTGATCATACACAACAAAAAAATGGAGTAAAGGATGCACAAGCTGTATTCATATGAGGAATGTGTTGATTTTTCTCAATATACTGGAAATTATTTATGAATTAATCAAATAAAACGTATTGAATAAAAAGTCATTGTCCAGTGTGGGCTGTGTGCGGCCATGGACACGCATCACACAGTAACAATTATTAAAACAAATTGAACAAAAAACCCTCATGATATTTGAAACATAACACCATACTGCCCCCTAGTGACAAAAACCCATACAGTAGAACTTTATAGTAAAAAAATCCTTCAATATTCACTTTTTAATTGTCTCTTGATTTGTGATTTTTTTTTTTCAGAATTGCTAACCATCTCCTAGATGCTGTTTCAGGTTAGTACAACAGCTAATATATTTTTTTTACAATTTAGTATATTTGACCTATTTTAATAGAAATCTTGAAGAATCTCTTTTCCGATTCCTGCAGAATTTCAAAGACTGCAAACCAAGGGACAGGAGGCGTCACTCACACCGGAGCCTGAAGACTGACATGATGTGGCTCCGGTCTCAGCTCCCTTTGGATTCTTTCAGAGACTTTAAAAAACAGAGAGGCCATTTCATAACACTACAGGAACAAATCCACCGGGCAAAACGCCAACCCTGTGTCTTCAAAAGCTTGTTTGTATCTTATTCTTTTCTATAAATGGAGTGGAAAGAACAGTCTATCTGTGGATCTGCCATTGCATCTGTCGTCCTTAAAGTAAACGTAGTCAGGGTGTGCTGCTTCTTCTGTTGTAATGAGTTCAACCACAGAGATACAAACACTGTGTTGTTCGGAAAGTGTCTATGCTAAATTAGCTATTTCTGTTTGTGCGACTTGCGGTCTTGGCATGCAGGGCTTCATTCACCATTACATACATTTTTAATCCACTTACTAGATGTGAAACTGTGTCACAAAAGTAACTCCTGAACATTCACAAATCCATGAAAAAGGTTGTAGTGTATCCAGGTACTAAAGCCCACATTTTCCTTATGGTTGAGGCACTTACATAATAATAATAATAATAACATTTTATTGATATTGCACCTTACATTTCCACAGAACAGAAGTGCAACAGATACTATACAACAAACAACGGCATCAAATGTGGTTATAAGCTCAAAAAATCCCTAAAAGACCTGCAAATAATAATAGTCATTGTCATCGTCGAACTTTTTACAGACTCATGGTCCCGGATAAAACAAACACATCGCACAGAACATCACAACCATAAACCAATTTATCAACACTTTTTTTGAATTTTATTTCTTTATTTCAAACAGTGATTTACAAACACTGTCAAAACTTATTGACTTTTTTTTCTTTTTCACAAATATATGATGGTTTAACTATGTACAGGAAGGGAGAGATATAATGAAATCAGAGTTAATCAGATTACACATTTTGTAGGTATTAAAAAATAAAATCCAACTTAGAACAGAGTCAAAGGCATTTATTAATTTGGGCTTTCACAAAATCTGTATTGTAGTGGCGTTATGTCTCTGACCCATTCAGACCATAATCCAATGTTTTTATTTATTTTAATGTTTTATTTATTTATTTTGAATATTTGTAGATATATCAATATAATAGACAAATAACCTTTACCTGGTTTGAAAATGGGTTGAATGAAGCAAATGCAAAATAAATATCATGCAATAGAATTCTAAAAAAAATACAACTGCACATTATAAACAGTAATACAATTTTACCACCGATGGTTTAAGACAACACAAAACACACTCTGACAACACACTGGCCCAAACACTCTCTGACCCTACACATTAAGATAATATACATGTTTTGTTTGCAATGTCCTATAATTGAGTTGAGATGATGGAAACGTGTTGCTGAATGAAGCCCAGTGTGTGAAGCCAAACCTCGGCCGCACGCTGCTTGTTGTTTCCTCGTCGCAGTTGGTGCATGGAAATGTTGCTTGCCAAAACCCTCTCCTTACGCGTTACATAGAGCTTTGTCTGTGTGACCTGAAAACCAGCTGACATTGCTCCGACTCCGAGCCATGTTTGTTTAAGTTATTTGTATTATATGTATGTGAAATACGCACTACAGTTTTCCAGTGGTTTTAAAATACTGACCTACGCGTGGGGATAGGAATTACACTGTGACATGTAAAAGGATGCCTTTCTTCTGATGGTGAGCCGCTGTTGAACGAGGTTATTGTTAGATTGAATGTAAAGAGAAAAAAACACACATAGAGATATCTGTTGAAATGTCTTAACTGCTGTAATTATGTGTAAATCCTACTTTTGCTTTTCCAAGATGACTAGACCACAAAACGAGGGGATTCAATTCAAAGGCCATGCTAAATGATATTTTTTTAAGTACTGCCTTTGAGGGGAATTATGTTTTCCTTCGTGTCCTGGCAGAGCTGACTGACAGTGCCCTCTTGTGGCCCAGACTTGTAAACACATCACGTTGTTCAGCCATTACTGTCTGTGCTTGCACTGTTTGACCAGAGCCTATGATACAAACCAGAACAGGGAGAAAAGGTTGTAGGCACTCGGTTCAAATGATTGTATCTCTGTTCTTGTAAAGAGTCTGCTTAAGCCCTTGTTTAAAATAAAATGTAAATGTAATGTTTGTAAATAAAGCAAGCATAAAGATTTAATAAACAAGATGAGATTGGTACTATAAAAATCACAGATATCTTTTATCAACATGTGTGTATTTGTTTGTTAGGAATAATTAATGGTTACTTAATGTAACTTAAGTTCTACGAATAGGTGCGTAGTCCCTTAGGACTTCGCTAGTGGGATATCACGTGACCCCCAGGTCACACGCCAGAGAGATCAAAATAATTTGCTCCAATCACCAGCCACCTTCCTCTATAAATGCCCCTGCACAAGGCCGCACCCCCTCTTGAACTCTGCCAAGCCGGGCTGGCCTGATGGGCTCGTAGCTAAGGGACTACGCACCTATTCGTAGAACTTAAGTTACATTAAGTAACCATTAATTCTACGTCATGGTGCTACGTCCCTTAGGACTTCGCTAGTGGGACACAACGCGGAGGCCGTAGGAAAATGTACTCCCAGCAGGCCAGCGAAGGGTGATTGGAGCTCCGCCCGAGTAAGACCCTCACAACGTGAGAGGACTCAGGGCAGAAGAACAAGCGTGTTACGGGGCCACTCCTACCAAGGATACCCCCACGTAACACAAGCCGTAGGTCATCCGTAGTCACAGGACGCCTCTCCCAAGAGCTCCTGACGTGGACTACCAGACCGACCACACACACAATGTACCGCACCTGTCGGATGCCTCTCCCAAGAGCTCCTGCACCAGGGCGGAAATTAGACCGAAGGCCCCCCCTCAGGGGAGGGACCCAACGGTCTAACTCAATCCGCTGCACTCAGCACGGAATGGGCCACCGACCGGTCCGACACATCCGAAAGATAAGACCGGACGAAAGAGGAGGACGACGCCCAAGAAGCCGCACGGCAAACGTCCTCGACCGACGCCCCCCTGAGAAGGGCCGTAGAGGCCGCCATCCCACGCGTGGAATGCGACCTGAAACCCACCGGGGGGGCCAGGCCCTGCGTCTGATACGCCCGTCGCACCGCCGTGGCGACCCAATGCGCCAGCCGCTGAGCCGACAACGGGGCGCCCCTGTTCTTGGGGCCCAGACACACAAACAGCTGATCACCCGACCTGAATGACGACGTCATGGCCAGGTAATGCCTCAGCATTCTGACAGGACACAGAAGGTGCTGCCGCTCCTCCTCGGGGGAGGCATGCGGCGGCGGGTGGAAAGCCCTAATCCTGATCACTCTCGACCTAAAGGCCGACGTGATGACCTTGGGGAGAAAAGCCGGATTGGGCCACAACTCCACCATGCCGTCGTCCTCTCCAAAGGACAGGCACGACGCATGGACGGAGAGCGCACACAAATCGCCCGCCCTTTTAGCAGACGCCAACGCCAGTAAGAGGGCCGTCTTAAAAGCGATACACTCGGGACTCGCCTCCGCCGCCGGTTCAAAAGGCGAACCCGACAGCCCCCTAAGGACCACCCTGAGGTCCCAAACCGGAGGCGTTCTCTGGAGCGGGGGCCTCCTCCTGCGCGCCCCCCGCAGAAAACGTTTAACCAACGGGTGAGAGCGGGCTGTGAACCCCCCGAACCCGTCGTGACCCGAAGTAATGGCTGCCGCAAACACCGCCAAGGTAGCGACAGCCCTCCCCTTGTCGAAAAGTTCCTGTAGGAATCCCAGGACCCCCTCCAGCGGGCAACACCTGGGATCCCAGGAACGGGAATCGCACCAGACACTGAATAGCCTCCACCTCGTGGCGTAGGCCCTCACGGTGGACGGCGCCCTCGCTCCCTGAATAGTCTCCACCACCGCAGGGGGAAGACCCAGATCTACGAGGCTCCGCCTCTCAACCTCCAGACCCAGAGCCTGCGGCCGATTATCGGACGTGAAAACAGGGCTCCTGCCCCCTGGACTAGAGCCCCCGGCTCGTCCGGGAGGGCCCAGGGCTCCATCACCGCCATGCCCCTCAGGAAGGGGAACCACCGGGCATGCGGACTGTCCGGAGCCACCAGAATCACCGATCTCCTCTCCTGTTCGATCCTCCGCAGCAGGACCGGCAGGAGACGCACCGGTGGGAAAGCGTACAACAGGCCGCCTGGCCATGGGTAATGAGCCAGAGCGTCCACGCCTAAAGGCGGCTCGTCCGCGGCCCTTAAGGCGAACCAGGACGGGCACTGTGCGTTCTCTGCACTGGCGAAAAGGTCGACTACTGGACGGCCGAACCTCCGCCAGATCTCCGCAGCTACCCGTGGGGCCAGGCCCCACTCGTCCTGGAGTGGGCCCCCCCTGGACATTCTGTCGGCTCCCACGTTCCGGACCCCCGGGACGTGGCGCGCCCTGAGAGACAGGAGGTGAAGCGCCGCCCACAGCAGCGTCACCGTCGCCATGCGATGGAGAGCGGGGGACCTGGTGCCCCCCTGCCTGTTCAGATAGGAGACCACTGTGGTGTTGTCTGAGCGCACCATCACGTGTCTCCCCTGCAGCTGAGGGGCAAAGTGCAGCAGTACCCTGTGTACTGCCTCCATCTCCAGCAGGTTGATGTGACGGGCTGAGTCCGACCAGCAGCCTCCTACAGAGCTCTGGCCGAGGACCCCGCCCCATCCTTCGAGCGACGCGTCCGTGAACACCTCGACGTGAGACACAGCGCAGGCCAGAGTCACTCCGTCCCGCAATAGACCCGGAGTGAGCCGGAACCTGATGTCCGATGCCGCCCCTTGGGGAACCCAGATCAGCCTCCCCCCGTCCCGGGAGGGGTGAAGCCTGAGGCGCGAGAACCACCTCTGAAATTTTCTCATGTGGAGCAGGCCTAGCCGCACCACAGCATGAGCCGCTGCCATCATTCCCAGCAGGGACCTGAGGCGCCGAGCGGGGACTCTGGGGCCCGCCAGAACCTCCCGGGCCAGACGGGTAATGCTCATCCGTCTGTCCACGGACAATGCAGCACGGAATATCACCGAGTCTAGCTG